TCCCGCCAGCGCTCGGGGGTGCGCGGCCGGAGCTGCGAGAGCGCGTCGTTCCGGCACGCGCTGAGGCAGCGGGAGCACATAGGGCAGCACGGCCCCAAGGCGTGACTGTCCCCGCTCCTGCCTGCCCCGCAGCAAGCCGGCCCGCCCCGAGTACTGCCTCGGGCACTCATGTCCAGCTGCCTGCTCAACCACCTTCTCTGCGAATGCTATTAGAAATCACGCGTCTCCCTTTTCCATACTTATGGCACGTGCCATTTCATCCTTGAACTTCAAACCCACGCGTGCGTGTTACACGAGCCACAAACGCATCTTCTGTGCGTTAGGCTAGCGTGAGGCACGAGGTTCCGTGGTGTGTTGAGGCACGCGAAGGCACGGAGCCGGAGCTCACAGCCCTACTGATGGCAGCTGAGCTGTAAGGTGAGCGCAAGGTGAGCGAATCCAACTCGCCATTCTGAACATCCTTTAGAAAGATCTTGTTTGGGTAACACTTGCCCTCTAAACCAAACATGATTCTGAGAAAACAAGGCTTTCCAGAACGTGTTAGCTCTCACTTATCCGTTAACATGTAGCTCTTGGCTTGTATGTCTTCAGGGCCAGGCTGGATGAGGCTTGGAGCAACCTGGTCTGGTGGAAGGTGTCCCTGCCCATGGCAGGGGGGTTGGAACTGGATGATCTTTGAGGTCCCTTCCAACCCAAACCAGTCTAGGATTCTATGTTCAACTTTATGCTGAGAAGCACGAGCTGGTTGCCCTGAAAGCCCATTACACCATAATCAAATGAAGTTTAAAGGAATTCTGGACCTATAATAACGAGGCACATAATTGTAACAGGTTTCTCCCTAAAGGGAACAAACGACTACAGCAATAGTTCACACAACAGTAAACATTAACCCTCACATTATTTACCAACCCAGGCACTCAGCAATCATTCACTCTGGCCATATAGAGATGAAGTAAGCCTCAATTTAGCCTGTCTTGAATGAGGACATACAACTGATTCAACTTCAGAATCAGGGCAAAGAGCTCAAATTCTGTACAACACTCAGTTGTCATTTGGAACTGGGAATAGAAACCAAGTTAACTATCAAATATTAATAATTTATTCTTCTCCAGACAATACAAACCAGTAAACAGAAACAAAGGGATCTAAGTCCAAGCACTTAATTCTCTCAACTCCCAGTATCCCCTATGTAATAGAGACTAAATGAATGCATCTTGTTTCTGTTACAATGTTGTCCAGGATACATACACTGAATATATAAAGCTCAGTCCAACTGTTCAGTCTTCATGATTCTTGGTTTTTGCCATACTTGGGACTGTTTTCAAGAGCTGAGAACGTACCAGCTTCATACTTAAAAAAAAATTCATTTTTATTTAGTTGTCTTACTTGTTTGGCTCTGGTAATAACTTTGTTAAGTGCCCAGCTCTAGTATGTTTGGTGAAAATTTACAGCTGCAGAGAAAGGCCTTACTTTAAAATTAGTAAGAAAATAATTATGGACCTCATATCATTCAGACAATGCACCAGTCTTCCTAGACAAAACCTCTGCACATGATACACATTTTTGGAAAAAAAAAAATCAAAGGAGCAATCTGTAAGGAAATGCAGTACATTCATGTGAAACCCCAAACTGGACTACCCAGCTCTTTATTGTTTTCTTATACAATATATTATGAAAAAAATCCCATGTTGAAGTCCAACTGCAAAAGCTAATGCAGACTGAATAACGACATGATCAGATTTCTGCTTACTGTTTGCTGGGGTTTTTTCCAGACACAGACCATAAAAGCTCCGGCTCAGTAACACAACAAAACTACTACATACATTTAATGATTATTCTCACAAAAAAAGTTTAATCAGCTTTATCAATATTCATTAGTTTCCAGACATTATCACAGGTCTTCACTTGCTCTCACTGAAGTCTCTCAGTGGCAAGACTCTCACTGGCTTCAACAGAAGTTAAAACTCCCAAGGAATAAGGCAAGGATGACAACTTTTGTGCAGTTAAGAGAAATATAATGGGATTGGAATGCACCTTGAGACTTGTATGACTACATGTAACACCCACCAAAAAAAAAAAATTTAAAAAAAAATCAAACAACGTTTCACAACAGATCCTGCAATAACATATGCAAAACTGCAGATTCTTGCAGCGCTATGGAAACTAGTAAGAAGCAGCTTGACTGATACGGTGCGCTGCTTTTTTTTTAAAGCAATACAAATCTGTGATGTTAATTTGGTAACAAACGTACTGAAACCAGTGTTACCCATAAATAATGTGTTATGAGATTGAATACGATTTTAACTAATATAAACACATTATTAAAATTAATTAATGAGTGTGCATACAAATTTTCTTGTTTTATACTAAGCTTCAGAACTCTGTAAACTGTCAGGCATTCATGATGCTTAACATGGCAGAAAGTTAGGTTACACCTCTTCATTATTTTACTTTGTTCAGTCCTCTTCCCATCAAGCATGCAAACACTGTCATCACCATTTTTGGCTTCACTTCCACCAGATCATCTGGGAGAGCATATATACGAGCACCGATTTTTCGAGCAACTGAAATGGCATACCTTGGAAAACAAGGGAAAATAAATATTGTTAGTTTCCTTGCAGCTACTAGTGTGCCAAGATTCACGGCAAGAACAACGGATTTTAATGGCAGGATGCGCCTGCTCAGTCGGTATTTACACTCTATGAGAAAATGGACCTTACTGTCAAGAAAGCATGTATTAGCAAGTGCATTGGCAGATGTTTTGCGACTGGTTATCAAAGCATTTATTTTTGTCAAAACCAAAATGTATTATAGCAGGCTACTAATCATTAATAATTGCAGTGGAGTGATGGCAGGTCGTATCAGCTGTAAATTTAAGTTCATACTTTAAATAGAAAAATAGCTCTAGAATATTAGAATTTATAATATATTTGAAACAAATCAACTAACATTAGTGTAATCTGTTTACAAATCAGTAAATCATTCTTTACACCATGAATTCATGCATTTCTTGCACTTTAGGAAAACAGCCTTCATTTAAAACTTACTTCGCATTATTCAACTTGTCTTGGTAAGAAAGATCTTCTCTCTTGACCATTTCTGGACGAACTGCTTTAGGTGCAATGGCATCTATTAAATCTAGGACAGGTAAACTAGTGCTAATCGATTTGTCCTAAAAGAAAAGACTCAAAGGTCAGTGTAAGACATTTGCTTTGATTATTTTATCTTCACAATGAGAACAACCCCTACACTACATCTTACATACCTACTGAAAGCTAGCAGTGTTTTGTTACTTCATTGCACAAAGGGTTTCTTCCCCCTTTTATGAGGTTTACTGTTCTTTTCCGCAATCAAAAATGATATGGTTCACACTCTGTGTTGAAACTGCTGTTATTACACAATGGTTTTAATTTATTTAATAATAAATTCCCCTCCTTCTCTAAGGAAGGAAGTGGTACTTACATTCCCAACTACTTTTATTTTTCTCCTTCTCTTGTAATGGAACTCTCTTCTGCAGTAGGTTATGGCTCATTCTTCTTACTACTTTTCAACTCGAATGGTATTCTGAGCTAGTACAAGCAGTCTGTATTTTGCATTTAGTACATGGCCATGTGTTTTCTATTTTTAAAACAGCAAGTGCTATTGCTGCAATTATTTCTTCCCAACTGTTAAGGCAGATAAGCAGCTGATGATGTCAAACAGCCAGTGAGGCTGGCTCTGTTCCTGCAGGGGCTCGTGCTGAGCAGCACGTAAGCCACGTGACATGCTGCCTTTGCACCAGGTCAGAACTATGATTTCAAATTCAGTGAACTCCTATACAGCCACCATATTAATTATACATTTAAAAAATAGTACATAAATCTGCTTGAAGACACTGAATGCACAGAATCTCTCCAAGAGATTTGGAGATTTGACCACACCTTTGTCATTTTTATTGTTTCAACTAATGGCAATTCAATAGAACTTGGCTTTCAGAGTCCACAATAAGTATCAGGGACACAATATAAATAGTCCACAGTAAACAATCTTTCTCGGCTACGCAACTGGCAGTAACCCCAAATACACACAAAAATTCAAATTGTGAGAGACATGAATATTGTCAAAAATCACTGGTAAAAAAGGTATGCTGAATAATGCCATTTCCTGTCAGTAGCTCCTTATCTTTATTGGTCTACCATCAAGCCTTAAAAGCAGGCCCAATGCCCCCCAAACACCACAGGCATACCAAAAGCAAGATGCTGGGGCAGATTATCTTTGTGCTCTCTACTCACTTGTACCACTATCATTACTGTTTATGTAGAAGTAAGAGAAGCAGCAAACCCTTTTAGGAAGATGAAGGCCTAAGTTATCTGCTAGATGAAAAATTAAATATTTTGTTCTATAAAATTATTTGACACTACCTTTTGCCTAGTACTTACCTAATTCAATTTAATAACAGCAAGCTCAAATATTTGTTCTTATGTTGCTGTTGTGAACCACAGGCAAGTCTTACACAGTTTCATTGCATACTCCGAAACAGTCGTATTTGCCTGCAAGTGCAGTTATTACCATTTCTAAAGAATGAGATTCATGTAGCGTGACACACCTGACGTGAGTTTAACACTTGTAAAATACGAAAGGAAAGCTTCTGTTACCAGTTTGTTCATATTTGCTGAATCGGAAAAGCTCCTGTTTAGTGCAGGACCGGTGCACATCAGCAGTGCCAACGAGGACGAGATGTCGCTGGTTCACTTGGGCTCCCTCTCCTGGCTCGGTCGTGCACCAGTAAATCTTTTGGACCAACGGCTATTAAAAATGGTGGTGTTGAAATTTTGTGTGTGTATGTGTTGTGTTTTGAGTCTTAAAGTGGCAATTACAATTTCTTTTTGTTTCTTACTAACAGACTTGTAAAATACTTTTCACAGACTGTCAGAAATATTTCCTTATGCAATTATGATGGTAGCTGATGGAAGACCCAATGTTTCAGCCAAACTAACAGATCAGGTTAAAAAACCCAGGTCTGATTATATGTGGAAAGAAGTATTTAATTTGATTACCTTGAAACTTGTAATTGAAGTTTTCTTACTTGCTTTTGCAAGTGTCTGATTCACCCACTTAATAACAATTTCATCATTGACTTTTTCCCCCTCTCCAAGGTCTGACAGTACATTCAAAGTATACCTTTATTAAAGAAAATAAGAGACTGAGTTAAAGTAAGTGGGAGAACTCATCTCTCCTAACAATACCAAGCTACAAGCAAAAGCAAAATATTGCTTCAGTGCAGTAACAATGCCAAGTACTCATCTTCACAAGGTACCCTCACCTCATGAACTCCAGTACTGTGAATCACTTTTTCGGTTATTGCAAGAGTAGAACGACATCCCCAAACTCATAATATTCACTGTTACATTTTCTACATATACTTGTTTTACTCAGCACAATCTAATTTTACTTTATAAGCTTAAATGGCTCCCTACCATCAAAGCCACCTGAATCACAACAGTCTAAGAAACAGAAATCTGATTGTTCTGGGGTAGGTGTAAGAAAATGAACTTGTGGAAGGTATTTTCAATACAATACTCTTAATTGAATTTCCCCCCCCCGCTCAGTGCACTAGGAAGATTTTGATTTTATTAGTTACATTGCTAGAGCTGTGGTGGCCTAAAAATTGCTTCCCATTTTAAACTTCTATAGTATACATCACCTCTTCCTTTCTTTTTTTTCTTTTTTTTTTAATTTACACATATTTAAGTTACTCTGCTTACGGAAAGATACATGAAATCAACATGAAATACACTGTGCTTGTTTCACCTGGTGCAGGATTTATGATTTTAATCACAGTTTTTAGTATATAAGGTTTTAAAGGCCCCTATAAACAGATGCATACATGTGGTAGTTTCAATCACTACACGGTATGTAAAGTTACAAGAAACACGTAAAAGTTTAACTTGGAGAAGGATATTTAGAGATGGCACTCTACTTGTAGGGTGACCTGAACACTAGCTTTAATTCGCCTTGATATACAGACACAGACATATACACAGATACATATATATATACACACATCTATCATGTACTGTGCCTAACTTACCTCCTCATCAGCTGCCACACCAAGGCCAAAGTTAGAGTTGGATTCCCCTCATTTAGATCGTGTCCAGCAATACCAACCAGTGAGAATTTGGCTTTTGTCTTCCCAAGTTCTACTGCATAATTGCAATTCTCAATCTAAAAATAAGTTGTGTGCAAATAATGAAAACACCTTGATACTTCTGTAATACAGACCTATAATCTATGTGTATGTTGAATTACTTGGGCTTACTGTTACCTATGGTGAGACTTGGAGCTACAGAAAAAATTTTAGCCTTTCTACACTGTGATTAAAACAACAAGGTATTCACTATAAATGCAAATATGCAGGAGTCCAATAATAATCTTTCTTCAAACTTGAGAAAACCAAAGTCCGCTAAAGTCAATGAATTAATATATACTTACACCAAAATGAATTTGGAAAAATACTGAAATGTGTTGTTCTTAAACAGTAATTTTTTCTTTTTTCCCCCTCCACATTTCTGGCTTCGTAATTATCCCAAAATTAACTGAAAGCTTGGATCCTGCAAGTCTTGCATAAATTCTCCTGGTAGTATGTTAAGACTGCTCTGTGAGGAAACACCTCACAACGTAAGAGAATCGGGCAATGACAGCTGTGTCACACACAAACCCTTTATTTATATACCCTAATTTGACCATAAATTAAATACTGCAAAAGGTGTCCACAAATAGAAATTAAACTGTGGCAGCTCTAACTGCTCTTTATGCCTTGGGATAGTTACTGGAAGATTTTTTTTTTTTTTTTTTGCCAGGACTGTCTCAGTAGCACGCAAATCTAGACAATCCAGATTCCTACAAAGAGCACAACAGGAGACAGTGAAACTGGACTGTATTACAGAGCATCCACCCACCTTTTTCATATTAGCACCCAGTAATGGAAAAGGAGGCTTGTTGACGTGGTTCCACTCAACCGGCACACGAGTCATATCATACAATTGGAAGATTATTAAAGCATCAGAGAGGTCACTAAACCAGAGTAAAACAGTGTCTTTAAGTACAAGAGAACATTTTCATTGTGAATATGAAAAGTAGTTGAGACTTGTCAAAGTGTAATTAGGTTGCTGAAAAACTACAGTCATATAAATTAAAAATTAGGACATTCTGTGGAGTAACTGGCCTACATCCTAATGCTTGATTTCCACAATTATTTCCATTAAACTGGATATATAATTTAATTATTTTCACAAATCTCAGTTAAGTAAGCACAGCCACTGTTTTTACCAGCTTTAAGTAATTGCTTTCATAGGGTAGGCATAGAAAAAACATCTAGCTAAAGAGTTTTCATTTATTGATCTAGTTTTAGTTTCCGCAGAACTTCCCAAAATGTTAAATACTCATGCTTTATTTGCAGCTACAGATGTATTTTGCTAAAAAAAAAAAAAAAATTACAATTACCTCAACTTTAAAAAATATAATTCAAAGTACAAGTGAGCAAGGGGAGCACATCAAAACTTTTTAGGTTTTCTAGTATTTCTAGATCACTAGTGGAGCATGAGTCAGTGCTTAATGCAGTTCTACAGACCACTTTTGAAGTTCCTATCAAACTGTGTGGAAATCACTGTTCTAGTAGAAATACAACTTCCTTTTCTTCTTCCCCTCTCATCCAAGGGAAATCAAGTCAGTGTTTTCTTAAAAAGCCTTACCTGTATAAATGATTAACATACGGGCTTACACCCAGTGAATTCATCCAGTTTCTGAAAGTCCTTTCTTCCTTACTTTCTCCTACGGTGACAAATGTAATTCTATGTAAATTACTTGGAGAAAACACTTCAACAACCTATGTTTAAATGGACATAAACCTCCTCTCCCCTCAAAAAAAAAAAAAAAAAAAGTTAATCGTTTCCCTAACAGTAGTCTCTACTGGCAATAAGTCAAGGCGATCCTATCAAATTCAGTCCCTCAGTTCCAGGCACAAGGCCAGAGGCACTGCAGGGAGTATTATCAGACTACATTTTTCTGTGTAAATATAATTTGAAGAAACATAAATAGACAGTTTGTTGGTTATCGGTTTAGATAATTAATATATGACAGAGAAAATAGTGATGATTAATAATAATTTCCTAAACCCAAAATCTGTGGAAATTGCATTCAACAGTATTTTAAATGTTTGAAAGAGCATATTTTTGTTAAAAGTTAGTACTAATATGCTTATTGCAATCTCAAACTCCAGAAAATACAGCTCTACTACTCTCCACACAGGTTGCCAGTATTAAACGGTGATTTACTTTTATATTAAAAGCAACAGGCCCCACTTTTTTAGTTTTAACACTGGAGATTCAGCAAGGCAGTACTGTATTGCTTAAATTTGCGAAGCTGTTCATACTGCCAAGGCGGCTAGCTATTCTTGCAGTTTTAACTAGCACCTCTGCTTATGAGAGACGCAGAAAATTCAGTAGGAAAAAAACACCCCTTCACTTTCCTGACTTGGATTGTTTCTATGTAGTTGGATCAGGAGCTCCTGCACGTGCGCTCTTTCTCTATAGATTTACAGTAACACATTAATTTTTTTACATACAGCATTACCTAAACTTTAACAATGTGTCTGTGGCAAACTGCATGTGAGTCAGTGCTGTTTTCTCTTGCATCAAAGAGGAGCATTTAAGAAAATATTTAGCCTGAGTATGTGAGCTTGCAAATAACCACATTGCTTTCCTCCCTTGGGCAGTTAAGCAAACAGAAAGGACATCGGGAGGGAGAAAACCTCCCTAAACAATAAAAGAACCGATTTCTCAGGACTGAAACACAAAAATCTGAGTAAGACTTTTCTTTGCTCTTTTCATTTGTTCCTTAGAAGATAATGGTACCGTGCTTGTCCAATGAGGTTTATGTAGCATGAACGCTGTCTTGGTCAGTACTACATTTCTACGCTCACTACAGAACAGTGCATGTTTCACAAAATGAAGCTACTGTATAAACATGCATTTATCAACAGAATAGAAAGACCTCTTCTTTAATATGATTTTTCCATGAGGCAAACCTATGTCGTAACATTGATTTTTAGACAGAGGTTACAATTTTTATCTAGGTCTCTTCCCTTCTTATATAAAAAGCTCCGGACTTCAAAACATATTTATCAAAAATTTAAATTCAAAAATTTCAGCTGTAATTGACATTTTCCAACAGAATAAATTTTGAAGGGTTTCAGCCAGCTTACCAGTTACTCTCCTTTCCAATCATTATGAAACAGATGATATTCATTCTACTGCTGTATTTTCTTTCTAAATCATGAGGTCTTTCATATGCAATTCAAACTAGTATTTGTTTCAAAGATTTACTTGTAAAAATTACTAAATGGCACTGATGAATAGATACTGAAACAAAGAAAAATACTATTCTGCAAGGTCTTCAGGCAGCCAGCTTTGTTTCACATATTTCTTTTCACAGAGAAATTTAAAAGACAAAGAATCACATTTTATGACAGTTATAAAAATATCAGTGTTTTTCCATAACAACATACAATATAAGCATGATGTATAAATTAAGTTTATAAAGAGTAACTTAAGAGGGTGTTTTTAACTTATTTTGAAGCAACTCCTTTTCTGCTTTTTTCTTTTTGAAGTTTTTAGGCTTACTGAGCTTTGAGTTGCTTTGCAGTACCTAAAATATTGACTGCAAATTGGTTTTAAGACTTCTTGTCCATTGCAAAGACAGTAACAAGATTATTTAATGAATTCTTACTAAAGAAAGCATCGCTACAAAAACATACTCAGCAGCTGCACTCAGACTGAGAATTTTAAAATGCATGCTTAACACTGGTGAAAGAATCCAAAGTACCCAAGCAGGAGCAAGAGCATGCAAGTTAGGCAGCACCCTTTTGGACAGTGGGAACCCAGGAACTAAACCCAGCACACTATATTTAATATGCCACTCTAAACAAATTGCTTTATCATGCAACACAAACATTCGTAAGTTTTCCAGATGGCTGAGAACTGACCAATTTTTTTCTTTCCATTCTCTTATTTAACATATACCTTGTGATCCTATCAGGAGCATATCTTCTGCTGAGTGGTGCAGCAGATAGCCAAAATCAATGGAAAACTGCAGAAAGGGGGCAGAGCTACACAAAAGAGAGAGGAGCAAATTTGGTAGTGTCCTTTATATTTATTGCCATCTCTTGCTCTGAGATCATTATACTGTGGAACTGAGTGAGGAGTAGCCATAGGGATGGGGTCAAGAATCCAAAGAGCTCCAAATACCTACTATTCCCTCTGAAGCACAACAGAGCTCAGGATGCAATGTGCACCTTAAGTTCAGCTGGCCTGAGTGGGAGTAGTTAACCCTCTCATGTTTACAGCCTTGAAGGCTTCCAGTGGACTAAGCAACAGCAGCAGAGGACATCCACACTGGAGGAAACGTGGGTGGACAGAAGTCCCTCCTCTTCCTCCACCCAAGAATTCAGCTCTCTGTGAGACTTAAAGCTCCAAACTCTGCTGCCTTCCCCACAAGTGAGAAATTCCTCAGGGCAACACCCAGTTACAGGCTGTGCATTGGCTGAGGTCAGGACTCCCCCCACATAATATCAAACCTTCATTTTTCTATGTCAGTACACCTGAGGGATATGATCTCGCTATACACACCACCAAAACTTCTAGAGCATTATCAGAACAGATGTCAATTTATACAGTGTTCATTGTCTTAAACCAAAGAGAACAGCCACACTTGCGTGTAAAAACCAAAAATATGGAATCTAATGCAGAAAAATGAAGATTTCAAGAGAGCTCTACTCACCCACATGTGCCTAGAGCTTTACATCTTGGTTCATGGAAGGCCCCTACTGGTTAAACCCACAAAGAACTATATAGCATTTGACTTACTGCAAGTCCTGCCCTCATTTTATATGCATCATGTTAGACCTGTGGGGTTGTTTTTCTTCCCTTTTGCTTATGTCGGCATATTAAAGTAATAGAGAAATACAGGAACAATGCAAAAATCAATCAGTAAAGGAAAGAGGATTAAAACACTAGAGGAAAAAAAAAGAAAAATTGCAAAATAAACACTTTTATGGAGTACAGAAAAGTACTAAATACAGTACCTACATTAGGAGGGGTCAAATCTGCATTTCATGAAGCAAAATAGGAAAGCATTATAAGATATGAGTCAGATTTCAACAGAAAATCCATGATGATACTATAAAGAAATTAATGTCATTTTATATAACACTACCTTGAGAAAACATCAGTAAAAACACAGGATTTTACGGAAAAATAAAACAAATCAACAGGAAAACCCGCATATTAACATCATCATCTTTTGGCTGAAATAACTATTTTGATGACTTAGATCTACATGACACCACAGGAGTTGTTATCTGGGGGCAAAGGAGAGTTTTCTACTTCCTTTTGAACAGATAACATTGGCATGATTATCCATCTCTAAAATACACACTACAAACAGTTAAATTCGGCCAATATTTATCATTACAAAATCATAACGTAGCACTCAGGTGATTATAACTTTTTACAAACTGTTTTAGCTAAGACTTGGATCTCATCTTAATATTTTAGGAAAGTTCAGAAAGTAGCTCAGCTGGTTTTTGCCATGCCAATGAACACTCTTCTACATTTGACCATGTTTTCAGTATTTTGAATCCACCTGCAACTTTATGTTCAGAACAGAGAAGCTGAGCTGAACATATTCCACCACCACACAGCTCCTGTTTACACTTCCAAGAGCATATATTTCTAACAAAATTGCAGCAGAGGAAAAGCAGGCCTTTCCTTCAATCATTTGTCCTGGATAGCAGGGACTGCAGTGACTAGGGATACCACAGCTGAAAAGGGAAGCCTACCTCCTGTGCTCCAATACCTCTACCACAGCTGGCACCCAGCTGAATCTAGAAGAGCAGGAAGCCTGAAACAGGAGAGGTCTGAAGGATACAAGATTTGCGAAACAGGGAAGCAGCAGAGCAGACAAATTATGAAAAAAAGAGGAGCAAAGGAAGATGGACTCACCTAGATGGAAAGGAAACATGATAGGAACAGTAAGAGGAAGGCAGGAGTAGGCAGTACAGAGGAATGTGTGAACATTGCTGATGATTCTCCTGAGTGCGGCACCCCTGATTCTCCCCATTCCTTTGAGATCAGTGAACAACTGTGAAATACACTGGCACGAGCCATTTTATTATCCTGCATTAGCTGGTCCACAGAAAGGGCAACACCCAAAGATTGCTACCAATTATCCCTTTAATCTCCAGCATTAGGGATCTGAAGTGTACAGTTAAAGTCCAAATTTGCTGATATGCTAGGCTGGTGATGCAATAGATTAATATAGGTTGCTGATACAGACTTTTTTCATGTTTCCTGTTTTAAAAGGCAACAAACCAGTACACACACATATATAAACACAATATGTGAAAAATACTTTAAAAGGCTATTACAGTTGCATACTATAGCTCTGCAAATTAGGGAAAGCTACAACTTATGCATTAGCTAAAATACAGACAGAAGGGAGAGAAGCACAGGACACTGGAAAGGGAGTAAAAAGACAGATTCTGCTCCCGCAAATGAATGATAGAAGGTTATTCACAAATAGCCTTTGGTCACATTAAAACAAGTAAACAATATTCACAGTAACAAGGAGTTCTACTAAAGCTTATACTGAAAGCTATTGAGAAAGCTCTATATGCTGGTGTTAATGCAGGCACCATCACACAGGGATCCTATATCACAACCTAGAAGGAATACTTAAATAGAAATCACTAATATGCTTGTCTCCTGTATGCGTAGTAAGTTGAGTACCTTCTAATAAATTGAGATCATAAGATGAATTGTCAGGCTTATGTAGGGCTGGATATGTGTTAAAGAGATTTGCAACAAAAGCCAAATTGAGTTTAGGGTTGCCTGCAACCACATCAGCTGGAGTTACAAACTGTCTGCAGCCCAATTTATCTGCCTGCTGGAGCATGTATTCAGCCCTCCTCAAGTCATTTTTATCCTAAAAGAAAAAAAAAATTTGTAATGAATACTAGCATGTTTCCATTCTTTACTGAATCATCAGTTTGGCAAATCTCTACATGACCCATGTCAGTTCCTCACTCATTCCCCCAGTGCCCGATTTCCCCTCTGCCATCTTCCTTCCAATTCCTTTGTCACTGTGTTCTGTGGCTGCCTGCACAGCATTCCTCACAAATCACAGCAACAGCAGTAGCAGCCAGAGGTATAATGGCTGTATTTCCATTTCCAGGCTGTTGATTCTCACACTGTGTATTCTGCAACATGCGCCAAAGGTTCACCATCACTGCTTTAAATTGGTATTCCTAAGCACAGTCATTACAGGTGATGCCTAAAACCCTCAGAAGGAGTTTGAATGCTTCAGAACGTGATATTTCATTACCTCCATTTCCTTTCTGACTCCGAATCATCTTAAATTGGTAACCTATGTGTTGTTTGTTTTATTATTAATGTACATAGAGTATGTCAGTGTTGAAAACTGCGTAGCATGTAGTTTTTGCCTCTAATCTTCATAACACTAAGTTACTATTCACAAGGAAATGAGTTGGTAATTGAATTTCTTTCTCAGGAAGAAATTCTTCCCGGAAAGGGTGGTGAGGCACTGGGACAGGTTGTCCAGAGAAACTGTGGATGCCTCATCCCTGGATGTCTTCAAGGCCAGGCTGGATGTGGCTTTGAGCAACCTGGTCTAGCGGAAGGTGTCCCTGCCCATGGCAGGGGGGTTGGAACTAGACGATCTTTAAGGTCCCTTCCAACCCAAACCATTCCATGATTCTATGAATTGCTGTTAGAATTGAAGTCAGTAATTCAGCATTGGTACACTCAATCAGAAACTTGCTCTAGAACAAGTTGTTATATGTTGTTAATACTGGTTTATAATCCCTTACAGAACATAATCATACAAACTGTAGGACATTACTTGTAAAAATTAACTACTATCCTTCTCATTCCCTGCACTGCCCCCCCCCCCCCCCCCCCCCACAAGACAAACCTAAACAAAACAGAATTCTCTTCATGACGAGAGAACTGAAGCTTGTAAGCAAACATAATTTTGCTTGTGGGTTTTCATTACGTAAATGAGTATCAAGATTCTACTTAAGGTTCTGATTGATATACAGGTATCTGTATCTGAGGCAGGCAGTTCAATTTTTTATCAAACGCATTCTCAGAATAATCCTTCCAATGAGCATTATGTAGCCCTTTAGAGAAAAGGGCTTTCACATTTACCTAGGCTGGTTTTAGACCCTCTATCCCTTTACAACTTTAAGCTTGATGGATGCCACTCTTTCATTTCCTGCTGGTTATTGGAAGGGGTCACATGTTATTTCTGGATGTTATTTGAGGAAGGTTCAGAAGCCTACTCTTTTTCCTTTTCTAGATGCCAGGTGAGTAGAACTGAGCAGGATGTTGTAATATTTAAGTTTTTGTGACATTTAAGGAATCTGCCTGAGCTTCTGTATCCTTTACAAAACAAAAGATGATTCTGGCACAGCCTAGTAACCTGGATGTTGGATACATACATAGAGTTCTTGGGTAATTCTAGTCTATTTTAACACTTTAAGTACTTACATGAAATCCTGAAAAGTCAATTTTCACAGGCAACTCATCATGATCATCTCCTTTGGGTGTAATCTGATTTAACAGATGATAGTATGCTCTTGAATCCTAAACCAAGTATTAAAAAATATTAAAAAAATGCCACCAAATATGTAGCCTTTCATAGCCATTTACTGTTCTTATACTCCAAAATTCAAAAGCCACAGAAGTCAAAATTATGGCACTCTAATTTCAGTGAATATACTCCCCACTAAGAAACTAGTAAAATGAAATAAAAACCTGCTAGTTTTAGACGTATGTAATACTTCTCTTAAATAGCATGTAATATTTTTACCATAGTAGCAGTTTTCATATAAAACCCTAGGTAAAAGTTTGCTTTAATACCAGCTTTCTTGTGCAGCACTTGAAAAGATCTAAGTAGCAATTAATGACACATTTTTCTTCTAAAGAGGTCTTATCACCTTAGGGAATCTTCCTCCCTTCCTTTCAGTCTTAAAAAGTTGTGTTTTACTCTCTTCAACTGGAGTTACTATAACACTCAGCATACCTTATGCAGAAGGACTGAAGAAGAGAGAAGTATTATGGAGATTTGCCATCTGCCTCAAAGAACCAGCAATACTTTCAGTCCCTTTGTATCAGTAAATTGGCATACCAGCAAGCCCCAGTGACTGAGGGCTGCTGCTGTCTCCTTGGATCATGGATCAGTAGCTACTCCAGACGGCACTCTGAAAACTGTACTATCTTCAAGAGGTTTCCTAATCTTCCATAGAATGCAGGGTACAAAGGGCAATCACCAGCAGAAAATAGGCACTGGGAGGAGATTTAGAGACTACACTTCTTTAAACCAACAAAAGAAAGAGAAGATGGGTTTCTGCAGACCCAGGAGTAGGGAAGGATGGACAGGAAAAATGTAGTTAATAAGGCAGTGCAAATTGTCCTATGGAAGTCTGCTGATAATCTCAGAACATTAGAACTTCTCTGAACAGGAGTTTGCCAGAAATGTTTGCTTTGCCCTGTCATGTGGTAATACATGGGAAGAGCAACTGAACAGGACACAAGAGATCAAAACAATGGTCTTTCAGTGTTGAAAAATATGGGATGAACCTATAGCTAGAAGCAGCAGATGACTAGTATTTCTCTAAATACTTCTGATCTGACTCATTTGTTTCTATGCATAGTGTGTTTAAATTCCATTATGTTCAGTTACCAGAGACAACCACATACCTTAATGTCTTGGCTGAAGTTACTGATTTTCTGCCACCCTGCATTGGCCAGATGGTAGTTCACCCAGCGTAGCAAGAGCTCCTCTGGGGAAAGCTTCATTAACTGATCTAGTTCTTCTCCTTCACTTAGCAAGGCAATTAGAGCTAAAAGCAAGTTTGAAAGAATGCTGAAATCATTGCTATTGTGGTCTCAGTTCCAAATGGCTGATGTTGCTATATCTGGCATTCATCCTACCTTCGTTTCTGGAGATCTCAATATCAGCAAAGAGACCAACTTTAATGATCTGCCACAAGAGTCCCAATACCAAGTGTGGTTTTCCTTCTTGCAAATCTTGTGATCCAATATTGACAACCGTACAGCCAATAGCAGATGCCGAGTTCAGAGCCAGGTTTAGGTTTTCCTATTTGAAATATCATTGTTTAACAAATTTATGTAATTCTTAGTAAATTTGTTCATATTTGATTTTGTAAGTTTCAGAAGTTGTAAGAATAATGCCTTAGTGCAATTACTCCCAGTAGAAAAAACTGCACTCTGGAAATCTTTTGTGAACCACAACATATCTTATCAAAATACAATAGAAAACATCATTGACAGTGTTTAATATGGGCCCACCAAAAAACTGGACAATCTCCTGCAGCTTGGATCACTGAGGACTACTCTAATAAAAATATTTTTTTGTAGCTCAAAACATTAGGGGCTTGACTCTGTGGACAAACGCGCTCCTATGGAATTCTGCCCTGTGCAGGTGGCTAGTAACATTACTGTCATCCCACCTCAGACCTTATTCAGGCTGGCAATTTATTCAAGCAACTGTTCAACTGTAATTAAGCAGACAGCATAAGAAAATCATGGCAATTCAACATCCAAGTAAATGAAAGTAAAGCTAGTGTTTGTCACAGATGAAGCATTCCAAGAATAAATACCTGGCAGCTCCAATAAATATTATTCCCTATTTTCTCGTGTCATATTTTGACTATGTACAGAGACAGCATAAACACATGTAGTATCATCTTTGCTGACAGATCTTCTTTAAACAAGCAGAGATTACAAAACCCACTTGGAGGATTTGGAACATTGTATGTTTTAACTTTTCACATTTTAATGTCACAGCCTGAAAAGTCTGCCAATTAACTGAGGGTTCTAATCAGGACTTTTTTTCCCCACCTCATTAGACTGGTAACTTATGGATCTTCCAGACCTGTTTTCTTATAACCCAACTGAGGTCTTAAAAACTGTTTCCCCCAAATATTTTCATGACTGCATACACAATTAAAAATAGGGTTTCACATCATCTGGCCAAGTTGCTCTCCACTGTGGAAAATCCTACTATACAGATGTGCAGTTACTTTCTGCATTGCTAAAATACAACCTTATCATCCACTCAGAAGTCTAAAATTCTTTTATTCTGGAACTTAGTAAAACAAAACAAGAACAGCAAATAGGAAAAGAACTAAGGAAAGCATGAAAAACACAAGTTTTCTTGTAAATAATTTAAGAAACAGGGTAACTCCACAGAGTTTATTAGAAAATACAATTTCATGCTTTGACATTTTTTAATACATAGGACCTCCTTATCTTTTCTCCACCAGGAGACCTGTCATTAAAATAAAGCTATAGAAAAATATTTTACTTTATTTGTGGCAAGTTCCTATCTGTGCAATACTTACAGATATAGTGAAAGGAGTGAGTTTCTTCTTATTAACAGCCCTTTCATCAATTGTATCTGGTTGTGAAAAGTTGATCATTTTGCTGAAGAACAAAAGTCAGAGTTTATTCAGATTTTAATTTCCTAGAAAATACATTATTTGATTATAAAGTTCTAACACTTTAAACTAGCTATAAATATTTCTGATGAGATCAAGAAACAGACCACCTCATTCTCCAAATCTCCCCCTGTTAAATAATTGCACATTCATCCAGAAACTCCAAGATAGTATGTAACTATAAGAAAACTTGAGTGACTGGGTTTTATACTTAAAAAACAGAGCATGTCTGTGCTGTCAAAAAAAGTTCAGAAGATTAAAACTGTAAAATAAAGTCAGTTAAATAGTCTTTAGTGAAAATCTTCGTAATATACTCAATATATTTCCACAATGCATTTCTATAGTATCTTGCATCTACAGGGGTCTCAAAGACTAATTCACATCAGTACTAACAGACCTGGTTACCATGGTGTCTGAATAAGTACTATTAATGTACTTTAACTAACCAGAAAGTTACAGCAGACTAAAGCTAAGGGACCTATTGTATGCTCTCTGTTTTGCCATGGATTTAGTTCAGATTTTTGTTCCTCCCATCCTATAATTTAGTAACTACATTTCGTAATTTAAAATATTTGAAATAGCCAAGTTTTCTTATTATTTCAGCTATATATGAACTGCGTAATTATCTCCTTTATAAACAGCCTGTACATATCTGACATGTATAATTACAGGTCTGCAGTGGAAAATCACTTCTATAATATAGACACAGTCACACAAAAAATTTGTTAAAAATAACATTTCTATGGGCAAGAAGATTTTCCCCATCATATACATCAGCTGAAAAACTTAAAAGTGAAATTTTGATGTTAAAGCCTGCCAGAAGTTTTCCAATTCATGTCACTGAGATCAGAATTTAACCTTTGTGATTAATTTATTTTCTTTCTTACAGCCCTGGACTCACCAAAGAAGGACACCATCTGCAAGGGATTTAAAAAGACTGGCATCTGATGGGTTCATAGGTAGGAGGTGCTTACAGTCTGGGTCATCTTGTAGAGCTTTATTTATCCAATTAACAAAAGCAACTTTTTCTTCCTCTGAAAAGAAAAACAGCATTAAAATAATCTATTATAATTTCCATGAATACATACTACTGAATATGAGATGTGGGTCAAAGAGGTTCCTCTGCAACAAAACCCCTTAGTTTCACAGGGGCCAGTTATGGAAAAAATCAGACCAGTGGAAAAGAAAGAAAAAAATTGCAAGTATAGAGTGATCTTTCTCCTACTGTACCCTCTGAACATCTGGTCATTTTCTGAAGGACAAGAAAAATCATAGCGACATATCATCATGGCTGACTTCCAATTCAGTCTCTCAGCAATTGTAACAAAACGATGGAAAATTGTGATCCGAAACACAAAACATCTCAGTCTATACACCCTTGGTTTAAAATGCAGCATTTCATTCTGCCTTTTGTTAGGACTTCAGAGACTGGCAGTATTTTTGAAACTATCATCTGGGTTACTGTACTGTAATTGGCTTTGAGAAACCTAAGAAGTTTAGTACCTCAGTTTTAAATTCCCTTGCGTATTTAGTGCAGAATTTATTGCTATATACTTAAGAAAGCTTATTAGGACACCAGTCAATCAAGTATCAGTATCCAAATTCCCACATAGTACAGGTGGTATTCACCTCAGTTACCTCAAGAAGCATACAAGACAGATGCCTACATCTGACTCCTTACACTTTTTTCATTGTCAGTGGGAAGAAACATGAAATTCTCTTGCACACTCCATCTCATCATAAACTAGATGGCTGATGATGCCAGGGGAGATGGCACTCTAGGGACATCTGCTTCTCTCCACCAAAAATGAAAGGGAGTCTAAACAATTAGCTCTGATGGTGTACCCTCTACAGGCGTCCTTTGAGTTAGAACATATCCCCTGCCTTGGAGATATACCAAGTGCAGCTGGTGCTACACAGATAATATCGAGAGACAAGGTATCACCACCTTTAGCTAACTGAAGAGTCTTCCTCATATGTAAGATCTTAACACACTGCTAGAACCACAGCAAAGCCCAGACCCGAGTCAATCAAAAAAGCCGCAATGTCGCTTGTTGCGGTATGATCCTAGAAGGTGGTGGCTAACAGGCTGACCAGGAGCTGCAATGCAATTAGGCACAATTACCAACTTCAGACATGCGGCAGCAGAAGGTAGAAACTGACCAAAAATTAACAGCAATGTGATAATCATATGGGAACGAACAACTCTGTGACGGCACAGAGACAGCCGAGGAGGCCCTTCCATCCACGAAGGATATGTAGTTTGCCTTTTTTTCCTTTTAGTTAACATTGTAGAAATTAAAATGGGGGTTCATTTTGATTTGAATATAGAAATAAGAGTAGATTAGCATGTAATGAAGCCAAAAACTTGACCAGCATTACTAGAAATACGCCAGAGGCCGTTTATTCTGCCCCACCCCCCACGCTGTCAGAGCTTGTTTTCATTCTTTACTCTCACAAAGATGCCTAAATTAACAAGTGCAGCATGAAACTAGCAACAACTGAAGAACCCACATTTTAATAAAAGACCACCCATGCTTATCTTGTCCACCTCCACATGCTTTCTCCGTGTTAACTTGCTTTCAACAGCAATTTTTTCCTTTTTTTTTTCATCTGTACTGCAAATTTGAAGACTCTTCCTCCACACAAAAATTTGCTCGTGTTTAATTATTTCTTACCTGAATAGGAGTGCTGTGTCCCCTCGCTGGATATTGCTGATGTTCCTCCAATTGCTGTAATACCTTGCTTTTTGTTTATTGATTTCCGGAAAGATTTGCTAACATCTTTACTTTTTAATTCCTGAATTATCTGGCATTAAAAAAAAAAAAAAAAAAAAAAGCAAGCGTTTTGTGATTGATCATACCTTCAAATAACTGTTAACTCATGTAAGTACCCTAAGGTCAGTTTACACTGACTTCTGTTCTGATAAAAATTTACTGTATGGGTAAAATTAGTTTAAATCCCTTTGTGAAACTTGCATACTGGATATCTAAAATACTATTTCCTCAGTGAGTACCTCAAGTGCTACCTATTAAGACATGCTATCTAAAAAAGTAGATATCAATAATCAACACATTTTTCCCACAGCGACTTTGGTAAAATGAAGAAAATAACTAAAGATATACACATTTTTCAATGATGGCAGCTTATTTCTTCCACTTACTTCATCATATGCTTTACAGTAAAAGGATACTACGGGACAGTTACACATACCCTTAAGCAAGCCGATACCATTTTCCACCTGCCTGCAATGTATGCCACATTGGATCGACTGATACGTCCTAGATTTGCCAAACCACTGCAGAATTTTCAAAACTACCAATGAGTAAAAGTAACAGATGCAGTTCAATTCCTGGATGCAAATATTTGCATTTCACCTACGAACCACTGCATTAGAAACTTGCAAAGAAAGATGAGTAAAAAGTTCTACAAGCAGCCTGCTACAGTTAGCAGCAGCACTCTAAATTCAAAGCAAAAACTAATCATCCCCAAATACGTACAAAACCCAACTGCCTGAAAAGCGTGTTTCTCTTAAAGACAGTACACTAGGGAATGATCTACAGCAAAGAAAGTCTACATCTTTCAAATTTGTTCACTAAAAGTGAAAAACTGTAATTCACTCCCAATAAGAAAGTCTTCAGTACAGAGATTGAGCATAGTAGTGCAAGCATTAGTTTATCACTAAACTAATTCAGAGACTGATATCCAATTATCTATTCTCTTGCCAGGACAAGGGCTGACCCAACAGTTCCTAAAAAAATACAGTCCATCTCCTCATCCTTGAAGAAATAGAAAGTAGGATTGATTCAAACTACTGTGCTCTCACATGCTGCTCAAATAAGAGCTACTAAATTGAATGGGAGAAGGAAATACAAAGACTGAAAAGTAATTACAGATGATATTGTGAATTGTCACAGAAAACTTTCCCATTCTCAAAAAAATTAGTTACTTGTATCAAAATAGTACTAGTTGTACCACATAATTCAGTTTTCTATCCTAGTTCTCAACAGATAGCAGACAGCAGAGAAACATCCAAAAGGAATGTCATACAGAGACAAATTCTTCGAAGTTGATTCTCCCGTCCTTATTGCTATCCGTCACCGCAATGATTTTTTCTACAATCTCCCGGACTTTATAACCGGGCAAGGGCAGACTTGCTTCTTTAAACAGGTCTTGAAGCTCATAATCACTGACGTATCCGCTGTTGTCAATATCTGTAAATGAAAGCACAAGTTGGTTTTTTACTTATGGAAAGAACAGAGTATAGTAACTATTAAGAATAAGTATGTGTAAGAAATCCAGTTCTAGGAGACAAGTATTTCTTCTTCTGACATAGATAAGCAAGCATGAAGGAATACGTGTTGAATAGAGGCACAACCGGCTTGGAGCTGTGCCATCATTTTATGTATTTTCTCAAGAACTATCTTATAATCCCAAAGCACAGCTATAACAAGATGGCGAATTTGTAAATAGCAAAGTTTACACTTTTCTTAGGACTCCCAGCAAAATTATATATAAATCTTCAAATGAAAGGGAGATCAATCATTATATTCTTGCTGTCGATATTATACCATTTGCCATCAGTAAACTCCAATCTGATGCAAGTTGTCATTAGAAAAGCACACTTACACAAGAAAAACTATTTACACAAGAACTCTGCCTGAAAGCATTTTGTTTCTTATCCTAGCATCTCATACACATTTTCTGTTCTTCAAAACTTCTGATGTGGTTAGGCTTACGTATGAAGAATAAATCTGGGATGATCTGTACCTGTTTATTAAAGGTGACCTTCCTTAACCTAACTAGCTCTGTTGGGAGCAATCTGTACTGCCACCTTCACTTACACTTGGATCCCAAGACCACGTCAGGAATGTCCGTGTGCAGCAAAGTATTAGAATGCTTTGTACAACAAGAGGTATGGTATAGCTCCACAATCGTGGAAAGAAATGAATGGCTGTATCACATAAAAATAAAATAATAAAAATTTAGTATAATTTGTGTTACTCGTTATGAATAACACAGCAGCAATCATAAAAATACCCTTTGTACTTTCACCTTATGCCAATCTGTGCGCAGAAAGATGTCTAGAATTTACTGGGCATCACATGATACCTGTACTGACAGAAACTGAAGAATGCCCTCTTTACCTATTCCATACTACACACAGTTAAGAGATATCTACCATACAGCTTTCCAACAGTCTCTTTACTGAGCTAGAGACTCCTAGTATTTAAGACTTCTTGCCTAAAGCGACCATGCTCTCACACTTTAAAATTACTACCAACATGTTCGTTTGATTTGCTGAGCTGCAGTTAAACATCACATCCTCAGAAATGCAGCAAGGAAGAAATAAAGCAGATGAGGACATTAACATTCACAAAGTACTGCAGTCTGGAAATAAGGGTTAGTTGCTATATAACTTCTCACCCTTTTTGTTTACTCTCTGATTAATCTGCAAACATCCTGTCAAGCATACAAAGTTGTACAGTTATTTATTAACATGTGCTAGCTACAAAAGCAAGATCAAATATTCTCTGGTTTTAGCTTAAAGTAAAATCTGACCCAATAAACTAAAGAGAAATTACTAGCTCACCAAAGCATGCAAGTAATCAGTAATCTAACATAAAAACATATTTAACAATTGAAGTTCAATCAGATTTTTCATATTTAAGGAGATCAATAATTAACGTTGAGACTTATCATGCTGCATATACAATGGCACAAATAATACTAGTTACTTCTTCCCAGTAAGAAAATGTATCATTTTTTTTACTGAAGTTAAAAGAAATTAATAAAAACATATAGTTTCATTGAAAATAAGAATGTTTACATAAACCCCTTATTTTCTTAGATATTACTGTCAACATAAAAGGAAAACACAGCCCTATCAAAACTAAGTGATTGAGAAAGATTTCTTCCACAAATGCTACATGACTTTGCAACATTAATGGCATCCTTATTATTTTCTTATTTGAAACAAACCTATTTTACTGAATGCTTCTCTTAGTTCTTCTAGCTCTTCACGAGAGATAGTAGTTATGTTGTTTTCCATCTTCGGGCAGCTAGTAGTGTCGTCCTCAATTGCTTATACCTAATAATAAACAAGAGGAAATATGTAAGGTTTTAAGTCCAAGCACATACTAATACAAGTGACTGATCTTTTCAATACAAGGTAGCCGACCTGAATGACATTTCCAGGCCTGGCACACTTAAAACATTACAAACAAAACTTGAAAGTACATCAAACACCTACCAATTCTTTCTGCTGTAATGGTGACTGAAAATGCACAATAACAGCACCTGTTTTTATACACTTGATGTTTACATTTGCATAGGATAAGCACTGATCAACAATCTACCTCCACCACTTGAGTGGTTTTGCAACATTAAAATCATCTCACATTTCAACAAACAATTTTTAGAAAAGGTATTTTTTAAGTGCAATGCAGTATCATTGCCAGTTAGTAGGCAGTGCAAGGATCTAGTCCTGCAAAGCACTGAGGACTCCAGTATTTGGACAGCAGTAAACCTCAGCGGGACACCTTCAAGTACCTGCTTGCAATCAGAACGCTGATGAGCTCTGCCATGGCTGTGGCAGAATTTACCACCTCCCAACCTTTACTCCCCTCTTCTGACAAGCCTGTCATGTCATAACACTGTCAAAGAGCCAGATAAAGGCTTTTACTGAGCACAGAGATTGGAGTCTCAATGTTAATCTACTTTCTCTACCCAACTCCATAAAAAAGCAAAACAACACTGAAGGCACCTTCGCAAAGGCTGATAAACCCCCATAACAGGTCCTTGCCCATTTTCTCTTATCGAAGCTTTACAACAGGATGATTCAGACCCTTGTTAGTAAGAGGAATTTTGTGAAGAAATTACAATTGTCTCCATTTGCCACTTTCCACTGTGCACAGCCCATTAGCAAACACAAGGTAAGCCTAAGGCGGCACCCACCTGTGCCGGCGAAGCTCTGCGCAGAACGTTGTGCTCCCTACAGCCAGGTGCTATGGGTGGTGCTGTGCCTACCACAGAGTAAAAGTTTTGTCTTTGCTTTTACTTCATGAGTACAGGCTCTTCAGGAAAGAGATATGTGGAGGGGGTTTGCTCTCTACGTCAGAGACCAGCT